ATGATACGCATAAGGGAAAGGAGGCAATACGCCTATGGGCATGCATTACGCGTATGGGCAGCCTTGGGGCATTTTTGAGAGGAAAATAACCCTCTGGTCATACACGTAAGGTCTAGGGCATTACGCGTATGAGGCCTGGGCAGATGGAGCCTTACGCGTATGATACGCAGGCCTGAGGCGTAAGGATGAGGCGATACGCATATTGGCCAGGGCTGTAATCTAGTTTTCTCGATTTCGTGATTTTTGTCCCGATTTTGCGTGTGATGCAAATTCTCTTGATCCGTAAGACTAACATGTTATAACTGGACATAGTGGAAACTAGTAATGACATCAAATAGGATAAAAACATGGGATTTTATGAGATTGTCTGGTTGAGGCGTGTTGGATGTTTGTGAGCCAAGATTGTCGTATGTGGACGGTCTTGGGCTGTGGTGGTAATTACGAAGTGAATTACGATGAGTATGTGACTCATGTGGGATCATTGAGGATCGTGATTTATGCTTGAATAATTATTACGTTGTGCATAATTTTGTGTCATGCATTCATGTCATGTGGAGATGAGCTAGGTGGAAATCCATGATGGGTGCCTAGTCTTGTTCGGACTCTATGTGGAAGTCGAGTGGAGATAAGTTGTAGTTCAGAGGAACATATACGACTTATTCGGATTCCGATGGGAATCGGGTTCTAGGGTGAACCGAATGTGATTGTGATGGTACCGCATGCATTGTGTCGTGTCAGTTGAGTCGCATTGCATATGTATATGATTGAATGTGGGCGGTATATGCTGAGTATTGGTATGGCACTTGTGTGTGCATTGTGATTGTATGATTTATGTGATTTGCGTGTTAAATACTCCTTATCATGTGATTTTTACCGTGTATTATTGAATGTAGTGTTCACCCTCTGTTTGTTATGTTTGTGCTCCTTGGGGAGTACAGATGATCAGGTACATGAGTAGTGCTTGAAACTTGTGTTGCTATTTGATCGAGTCTTAGGAGTCGCTCTGACACGTAACACGGGAAAGATGGGGATTTGGTTATGTTTTCATGTTATTTATTTTGTGTTATTTGTTACGTATCTAGTTTTTATTAATGTTGTTGAACCACGTATTATATGGAAAGTTGATGTAATCGGGGCTTTAATGTCAAATCATTGATTTAATTTTGCTGTTTAATCGAATTATTTATTTTTATTAATAAATGAGTTATGAAGTGATTCGATACTCCATGATGAGTTTTTTTGAATGTGGCATCCTACGTGTGTAACTCTGATTTAATTTCCCAAATTTTTTTGTATTTTCAATTGTTATACGAATGGGTAGATTAAGGTGTTACATAGCTCATGTCGGATTAATAGTATTTCGGGCCAGATCAATGAACCTATTTGAATTTGCTCATTTTTTACCCGAAAAACCCATGTATGAACAAGGCTTAATTTTCCTTCCCCATCTAGCTACTCTAGGTTGGAGGTAAGTCATGTAGGGGAAGTTACCAACACCATTCCATACTTTGTGTCTAGAGTACTTCACTTAATTTCCTCTGCATTATTAGGATTTGGCGGTATTTATCATGCACTTCTGGGACCTGAGACTCGAGAAGAATCTTTTTCATTCTTTGGTTATTTATGGAAAGATAGAAATAAAATGACTACTATTTTAGTTCTTCACTTAATTTTTTTAGATATAAGGGCTTTTGTTCTAGTATTTAAGGCTTTTATTTTGGGGGTATATGTGATACCTGGGCTCTAAGAAGGGGAGATGTAAGAAAAATTACCAACTTAACCCTTAATCCAAGCATTATATTTGGTTATTTACTAAAATCACTTTTGGGGGAAGAATGTTGGATTGTTAGTGTGAATGATTTGGAAGATATAATTAGGGGACATGTATGGTTGGTTTCTATTTGAATACTTGGTGGGATATGGTATATCTTAACTAAACTCTTTGCATGGGCTCGGCATGCACTAGTATGGCGTGGATAAGCTTACTTATCGTATAGTTTAGGTGCTTTATCCGTTTTGGTTTTATAGCTTGTTGTTTTGTCTAGTTTAATAATACTACTTATCCTAGTGAATTGTGTGGTCCCAGTAGACCGAAAGCTTCTCAAGCACAAGTATTTACTTTTCTAGTTAGAGACTATTGCCTTGGAGCTAATGTAGGATCCGCTCAAGGGCCTACCAATTTAGGTAAATATTTAATGCGTTCTCCGATCGGAGAAGTCATTTTTGAAAAAGAAATTATGCATTTTTGGGATCTGTGTGTTCCCTGGTTAGAACCTCTAAGAGGTCCTAATGGTTTGGACTTAAGTAGACTGAAAAAAGATATACAGCCTTGGCAAGAATATCGTTCCGTGAAATATATGACTCATGCTCCTTTAAGTTCTTTAAATTTCATGGGTGACGTAGCTACATAGATTAATGCAGTCAATTATGTCTCTCCTATAAGTTGGTTAGCTACTTCTCATTTTGTTCTAGGATTCTTCTTATTCGTAGGTCATTTATGACACGCGGGAAGAGCTCGCGCAGCTGTCGCATGATTTGAAAAAGGAATTGGGATTTGCAAGGTTTGTTGCAAAATTGTAATAGCTCTGGTGATCCATAAAAACGAAAATTTTAATGAAGAGGGAAGAAGGTTCAAGAACTGAACGACGGAGAAGGAGAAGGAAATGGTCACCAGAGTTCATTGAGCTATGATATCATGTTGATGCAATAAAAAATAACTCAATTCAAAAAGGAAAAACTTTATTATTGATGAATAGTTTGTTACATAACTCACTTTAAAGGGTGAAGCTTTATATATGAAACTTACATACAATGAGGATAAAATAGGGAATGTATAAAGCATGTTAACAACCTCTAACTACTTTTATAACTGATTTATATTAAGTTGATAATATTCTCATCAAATTATTTTTTTTCTACGAATAGTTTGTTTTTCACGAAATTTGGATTATATATCCATTTTAAAAGAAATTTCTTTAGCAGAAATTAGAGCATTTTCAAACCATGTTCCATATATTTTTCAAAAAATTGTAACTAGACCGTTCAATTGTTCTATAACAACATCAATACGCATATTCTTAAATTGAATATTTTTTTTAACTGAATTTACTGCAAACAATATCTCATACCAAATAGTAATGATTGACGAAAAGTCAAAATTTTCAAACTCATAAGTTGATAAATATTCAGCTTTACTCTTTATTTTAGGTTCGTCGTTAATTTCAATAAAGTATCTCTTATTTGTAAAATTTAAAATCTCAAAGATTTTAGACTTTCAATACGAATTTCCCAATGTATTTCTGACATAGATTTATGAGTTAAATAGAGATATGATCTTGTATAATTGTCCATCTTTTAGTAAAAGAATGAGATATTGTATAGATTTGTTGTAACTGGAAAAGAAAAAAAAAGTAGCTTTAGGACACTAATTATCCAGTTTCACAAAACACTAAATTTAGACTACGACACTCACATGGAATACAAAATAATCTAGGATTGATGTCTAAAACAAATTTATGCACACCTTAATATTTTTCTTTCATAAAAGACACATTATCATAACCTTGCCATGGCCTCTCATGTTACTAGTATCAAACTCAATAGTATTCATTTCATTTATAATAACATCAAAAAATCTTTTCTAAATATATAATCTACCTTCAAAATTTTAAAAAATATTCTGAAATTTATATTTAGATTAAAAAATATATTCTTGATGACTTAGATCAAAAATATAATCAAGTATGGTTGAAAAATATTTTGCAGTCATTATATTTTCTATAATTTTTATTTTGATTGTTTTACAAGCAAATGCTGTTAAAAAATTTTGAAGTCTTAAGCGAAGGTTTAACTAGTCTAAGGCTTGAGATAGCTCTCATGCTAATTTACCAGAGATTGATGAGTTGGTATTTTTAAATATGATGTTATTAAAATGGTATACTTTTTGTCTCGAGTTGGGCATGATTTTAGAAAGATAATAATAATTAAACAGGTTTATCTTAATACAATTGATATCATTTCTTATAATATTTTTATTAATCATAATTAATAGATTAATTAAGAATTTAATTGATATGTATAAAATAATTTTATATTGTCAACTAATCAGTTGCATGTATTCCGTCAAATCATACTGTAAATTCTCAGTAGATTGATAAATTTAATAATATAACAGGATAAATTGATAAATTTCTATTAAATAACAGTGTAAAGTTTTATAATGACATACCAATTAAACTTTTAATTTAATAGAGTGAAGATTAATAAATAAAATATAATTCTTAAAAATGGTTAATTGGTATTTTGTTGAAACGAAAAATTAATTACGTGAGTGGTAACAGTTACTATGGCGAGTACACGTTCTCATTTTCTTAACTTTATAATGCGTGTGCTGTGTTGCGTGGGTTATTTCCTCTTTTATTCGCTGTCTTTCTGTCGCCATTTGTCTCACTGTTTTCTGCAAACTAGTCAAAACAATCCCACCCCTTTTAATCCCTAAAACCTTCCTCCTTTTCATCTCCTATGCTTCTGGGTATTTCTCTCTCTCTCTTTCTTTATCATGAAATAACTGTTTTGTGCTTTCACTTTAATGAATTTTTATTGTATTTTTTGTTCAACTTTTGATATACTTTTCGACATTTCTCATAATAATTGGATTCACTCTTATATGCTGTTGATTTTGATTATGAACCTTCATGATACTTCATCAATCAAAACCCTTTTTTTAGTCTGTTTCTTATAAATTGAAATTACTTGAATTGTGTTGATAGTTAGCACCTTTTCATTCATATATTTTCCGTATATTAGTTCTGAACTTAGACTAATTAAATGTTAGGTCACATATAATTGAAATGTTACTTAGTAATGCTTTTGATTTGTGTAGTATTAATGACAGCTTCGATATCGTTCATTGTTTTGTAGACCTCAATGTTCTGAACGATTTCTACCGGTGCGATATATAACTCTTGGAAGAAATAAATTTTATAGGTGGTGATAAGAAAATGCAGTTATATCATCATCCATTTGATTTGGACAGCCAGAAGGTGAGACTTGCATTAGAAGAAAAGGGCATTGATTATACATCTTTCCATGCCAATCCTGTAACTGGCAAGAACTTGGATTCGACACTCTTTCAGATGAATCCCAGCGGAAGCCTACCTGTTTTCCAAAACGGATCTCACATCATTTACAAGACTATTGATATCATTCAGTATGTTCCCTTCAAACCTTCGTTCTCTCATCACTGCTTTGAATAGATGTTTATAATTTGAGAAACTTCATTTTGAAGATTTATGCAGCTCTATAATAAAGAGCTTATGGTAATATGCCGAAAACAATTTATGGACATATCATAAACTGTTTTTATAAGCTCTACTAGTATCAAATGGTGTCAAAGGTGTTTATGTCAGTAGATAATCTCAAAAAAGCTAATTTAAGCAGCTTCTAAGAAACAAATGTTGAATTTGAGTATTAAATGTTTTAAATGCTTCTGTTAGCAACGAACGTTTTATAGGGCCGTGGATTTTCAGGTACATCGAAAGAATTGCTGTGGTTTCCGCAGGGTCTGAGGATATCAGTAGCAATAGGAAGGAAGTGATTGAATGGATGCAGAAGATACAAGAATGGAATCCTAAATATTTTTCCCTTTCTCATATACCAGAGAAACACCTAGTTTATGTTTCCAAGTTCATAAGACGTGTTGTGATAGCTCGTATGTCGGAGTCCCCTGAATTAGCAGGTGCTTATCATAGGAAGTTAAGAGAAGCCTATCAAACCGATGAAAAATTGAAGGACCCTGATGTTTTGAGAAGGAGCGAGCAGCATTTGGTTAGACTGCTTGATGAAGCCGAAAGACAACTGAGTGAAACACCTTACTTGGCAGGTGAAGAGTTTACCATGGCCGATGTGATGCTCATTCCAGTTCTGGCTCGTTTAAAACTCTTGGATTTAGAGAATGAGTACATAACTGGGAGGCCAAACATTGCTGAGTATTGGGTTTTGGTTCAGCAGAGGCCTAGTTATAAAAAGGTGATTGGTAAGCATTTTGATGGTTGGAGAAAGCACAAAACATTGTTCAAAACTTGGTGCTTTGTTCGAATTAGAAGTTTGCTTAAGCGGTACTAGTGAGGGTACGTATATAAACTCGTGTTTGAATAAGTAAATACATCAAAAACTTTTTCTGTGTTGTAGATAAGGAGGGTTTCTAAGAAACCATTAGCTATCTTTTTATTTTTCTTGAAATAGAAGGGGGATTCATTTTTCTTTCTCCCTTACTCTTTGGTGATGTGAGGTACTGAAACAATCCACTGTTGCATTCTCCTTTATTGTCAAAAGAAAAGAGGCAAATTTGTGTGTATTTAATCAATTAGCAATTTCTAAACAATGTGTATATATTGTAACAATCTCTTCCTGTAAGGATTGCTGCTTGTTGTGTGACACTAGTTTTGGTTTGTGTAACACTATTAAAAGCTAAAAATCAGATGGATCAAGAAAGTAAGGATGATGATATTATTTCACATGACTATACACGAGATTTTTGTCTGTTTCTCTGGTAAATGTTGCAAGTCTTATAATGTGACAGGATTTGTGACAGAGAATATTTATATCCTACTAGTGTTGACTACAGAACGTTGCAATAATAATCAATGAACACTTATTTATCTATAACTGAGACCTTTACATTGCTATTGGTATCAGTTTGTTTTACACCATATCAAACTGATCTCGAGGTGGCAATTAAATCCATTAAGGCAAAATCCATCCATCAAAAAATCCATCCAATCCATCCACCACACAAAAAATAAGTTAATGGATTGGATTAAATCCATCCATTTATATGCATGGATGGATTCAATCCATCCAACATATTTTAAGGATCCAATGGATTATTTTTATTTTCGTTAGATTTATTTTTTTAAAATTAGATTTTTTAAAAATAATTTAAAAACTATATTTTTTTTCTGAAAAAAAAAGTTTAATTTTTTTGAAAAAAAATCTGTTTTTTTATTTCAGAATAAAAAACTGATTTGTTTTTCGGAAGAAAAAAAACTGACTATTTTTTTTGGAAAAAAATCAGTTTTTTTTTCAGAATAAAATACTGATTTGTTTTTCGAAAAAAATAATAAATTTTTTTCTCGAAAAAAAACCGACTTTTTTTTTGGAAAAAAATCGGTTTTTTTTTCAGAATAAAAAACTGATTTGTTTTTCGAAAAAAAATAAAAAATTTTCTCAAAAAAACCGACTTTTTTTTTTGGAAAAAAAATTAATTTTTTTTTCTGAAAAAAATCGGTTTTTTTTTCCGAATAAAAAACTGATTTGTTTTTCGAAAAAAAACCGACTTTTTTTTTGGAAAAAAAATTAATTTTTTTTTCTGAAAAATCGGTTTTTTTTTCAGAATAAAAAACTGATTTGTTTTTTAAAAAAAATATTTATTTTTACGAAATTAAAAAAAAAATTGGATGGATGGATATCCATCCATTAAAAATATGTTAATGGATGGATTGGATGGATTTTATTTTTAATGGATAGATCGGATTGGATAATTTTAATAAAATTTTAGTGGATTTTAATGGACTAATGGATTGTTTTAATCCATCCATTAGCAATCCATATCCATCCAATCCATCCATTTTGTCACCCCTAAACTGATCCCAGAATCAGTCTGTGTACATAAACATAGATAATCTGCAAACAAGGCATCGACCATTGAAATTCTTTGGAAGCTGAAAATATGGTCCTTTCACACTCTTCTCCACTATTGCTATGGATATTGTACCCAATGTTGTATGTTCGTGCACTTGAAAATGGTGTACTGAAACACTCATAATTTTAATAGTTGATTTCTTTATGAGGGATTTAGCAAATGGTTAAAACTGGTATATAATATGCATTTCAAAAGTAGGTGATGCACTAAAAATATAATATGCATTTCAAAAGTAGGTGATGCACTAAAAATATCACCTCAAATAATTGGTGAGTTCTCTCTGCTTCAAACAATGGAAAGATCAACTTTGTCAGAATTAATGAGTAGACCCCAAAAACAGGTCCTATTAACTGAAATGAAATTATATATATAAAGAATGAAGAAATGAAAAATATTAGTTGAAAAAAAATTATATATAAGTGAATAAATGTTAATGTCGTTTAGATTGACTAGAGTCAAGATAGACTTCAAAGCTCAAAAAAAAATGATATTGCCTTTCTTGGTTGTAATTCACATCCTCGCCTCGCCAATTAGACCAACCTTCATTAGTATTTAAAATTGGGCAGATCAAATTAAGCCAAGCGTAAGAGTTAAAAAGGCAAAACCAAAAAAGATAACAACGTAACTGCCATAATAAAGCTGAAACATTTCATCCTAATTATGTTCATAGCTATAATTTTGAATCTTTTGGAGAATAACTTCTGCATACATGCGCGTATGTATATATATGATCTGAATTCAAATAATAAATCAGACATAAAGTATTTGATAGCATGATCGCCAATGAGCAAAAGGAAAGTCACATATTTTCCATTTTTTTAGAGGATTATGCAAGTCCATAGAAACACCTACCTCTTGAAGGCTCGGAAGATCAGTATCCAGAAAAACAGAACCGGCGTACCAGAAAGTGGGGAGTAATATGGTTCATACTTGCTTTCCTCCACAGACAGACATATTTCTATAAACCATTGATATATTATAGAATAATCCATATGTCAATAGTTATCAGCCTTATCAGAAATTAGTTCATCATGGACCAAAACTTTCATAGAGATGGAGGAAGGCTGTAATTGAATGAATTTTCATTGAATAATGGATCCAGGAACAAATGAATTTTCATTGAATAATCGATCCAGAAACAAATGAATTGATCAAACATTAATGTATATATAGATGAAAAAAGAAAACAAAAACAATTTCTTTTTTTCCTGTGAATAGTAATGCTTTTGCTGTTGTGAGTACTAATAAATATTATTTTCCACCTGTCTCATCTCTACAGATTGCGTCCTCCAAATAACTATTAACTTTTGATTCTTTTGATACATCTACATCTACACTGCACACATCACCACTAGAGTTGTTTCCATTACATTTCCCTGCATTCCTCTTGAACCATGTTCGATGTATTTTTGAATTGTTCCATTTCTGCTGTCTAAAGTTATCTTTTCCCAAATCATTGGAGTTACCCTTCAATCGCTTGGGGTCATGTTTATCATCCTCACATTCAAGGTTCCTCCTGTCTTCAGACTTAGCACCAGTTGTGCTGGGAATCATATCATCTGATTCTGAGCAACAATTAACCAGACCATCGGTCTCCCGTTGCTTAATTTCAGCATGTTGATCAGTTTCCATGCCATTAGCATTAGAAGGCTGACAGTCTTTGATATCCCGTGGATGTGGATGTGGGGGTAATGGAGGAAATGGGTTGAAAGGCATGCCTGGAGCAGTGACCCAACACCCTTTGATTTCAGCATGAGGAGTTCCGTATTGCTGGGCAACAAACCATGGCATTCCATATGAGACAGGCAAACGAGAATTGAATTTCTGTTTTGGCTGACCAGTAACTAAACTAGAGGGCCATCCAGGATGACCTGCATTTGGGAAAACAGGACCACCAGAGTTAAGTGCACTGTTTAATGACCTTATTGGACATGAAAACCCTGGTGGAATTTCTTCATTAATGCTCTGGCTTTCATTGGTAGAGCCAATAACAGCATCAGAATATGAAATTGTTTCGGCCGGTTGATCCCATCGGCTCTTGCGCTTGCGTTTTTTCTCCACTTTGATCTCAACCCCATCAAAAGACGGCGTAGAGCAACTCTCCTGGGCACCAGCATCTACTGAAGTTGAAGTTGTCACAGGCTTTGACTGCTGACCACAATCAATTGCTTCCTTAGGTCTTAAACGCTGTTCTTGCCTATGATTATGAGATGCTGAAAATCTGTTACAGTTGAAATTTCTGTGAGATTCCCTATTATCATCCCTGTCCATATAGCCACGTTTTCTGCCATGTCTTGGAATCCATCTATCCCGGAAGCTTCGAGCAATTTGATGGACCTACATGTGCAAATAAGAGTGAAAATATTCAAACCCCTACTCATTAATACATTTTAATTAAAAACAATGATAAAAAAAACAGCATATTTTGGGAATATTACACATGACTAGACTAAGTTGAAATCAATCAATATATCTATTTACAATAGGTGATCATGGCAATACCTGTTTGTCATCGTGCTCTGTCAGAGACAGCATTGATTCCCTAAAACTGAATATAAAACCTATTGTTAGTAAAAGAATAGAAACTTTGAGAGAAACAGAATAGTTTCAATTGAGTTACACCAAAGATAATAGTGTGTAATGAATTAGCAGGGACAAATCATTAGAAATTCTCTCATATCATGGAATAGAAAACACTAAAGTAACACATGTCATGCTTCTAAGCACTTAAAAAAAAATGTATTTGTAGTGTGTCGATCATAATATAGCCCAAACAAGATAGGCGATGGAGAAAAGGTCAAATTTAAAACTGTTAACTGATTCAGCAATTTTTTAGAATTGCTTTAATAAATTTGAGAATGGTCAAATTTGAAATTTCCTGACCTCTCCATTCCACGACAAGGAGGGCCGCTCTTGATATGTTCCGGTGTCAAAACCTTCCCTGCTGCCAGATACTCTAAGACCTGTAAAAGAAAATTGTTTAGGCGCATGCTCTATAATCTCTTAATCCTCCATTTGGAGGTAAATTAGAGGAAAGCAAAGAAAATATTAGGATCTACCAGCCAGCTATCAACATAGTGAAGAGTATAGAATGATGGTCAAATCTATATGCCCAAAATGAATATTTACCATATTTTAACATTAAAAATGAATGACTAAGGAGATTAGCTGACATCTAAAATGATAGAAAAATGTATAAACATCACAAATATCAAAATACGGGCATTGAACCAAAGTTACAAAATGCACAGTAGTTTTAAGTGACCATTTCAAACAGCATTGAACAAATTCATAAAGAGTGAATATGACACAAATTATATTCAGAAATACAATGACAATGTCACCATAAATTTAGCAACATTAGCAGGCACACACCCATTTAGATGTAAAAATACACATCATATCACAAGGGTTTGTAAAA